CATGAAAATAAACACAAACACACATCCTTCACACTCCACACATTGAACCAAAAACCTGCAACACTGCACCAACACTGCACTATATAGTAGAATTCAGAAGAGCTACTGGCCTGGGATAGAAGCTGTTTTTCAGCCTATTTGTCCTTGTTTTTAATATTCTGCACCATCTGCCAGATGGTAATAGTTCAAAAAAAAGGCTGCCCAGGATGAGATGGATCTTTGAGAATGTTTTGAACTTCCTTAAGGCAGCGGGAACTATAAAGCTCTTCCAAAGAGGGGAGAGGGCAACCCATGATCCTCTGGGCAATGACTTTAACCCTCTGGAGCACTTTCCTATCTGCCCCTGTGCAATTGGCAAACCATACACAAGTGCAGTAAGTTAAGATACTCTTTATGGTGCAGCGGTAAAAGGTCTCCAGCAGTTTTCCATCCAGTTGTTGTTTCCTGAGAAGCCTCAGGTAGTATCATCTCTGCTGGGCCCTTTTGACCAGGGTTGCAATGTCAGCACCCCAGGTCAGGTCTTATTTTATTTTTTATTTCATTGCCCAAATCTAGGTAACACCATCAGTGCTAATCTAAAAAGCTTCCCCGAATCTCGTTTTGAAATTCAACTCTCACTGTTTAGTCTAGTTTGACTGGAAGGGAGCAGACCAAAGAGGCTGTTTTAGAAAGAAGCTCTAATGGGTTTTACTTCTCTCTTTGATGAGTTTCCACCCATTGCTTCTTATCTTGCCTCCAGGTGCTTTGGGGAATAGCTTGACTCCCCTCTTTGTGACAACCCCTGAGATATCGGAACACTCCTATCGTGTCACCCCTAGTCCTTCTTTGCACTGAACTGAAATGCTGCCTTGCTAAACTCTTCCCTCTTGGTTGTTGTGTTGCAGACACAGTGGGCCAGCTGCCCCCCAACGCCCTCTTGAAGGGCTTCCTGCACAGCCGCCTCTGCCACCTGAACTCCCGACAAGGTTCTTGCGACCCAGAAAGTGATTCCTCTCAGTCCACCATCTCCCCGGAGACCTTGTGCTCCAGTCTCTGCAGCCTTGACGACAGCTTCCTTCTCAAGGAGTTGGGCACCCCTTCTGAACTTGCCGCCAAACTGCTGGGCTCCGTCTCCGGCGGGGAGGACACGCTGATTTCCAAGTTGCCCACACAGACTGCCGGAGAATGTGCCTTCCGGAGCCTGGCGCAACTCGAGTGCCAGGACTCTATGTACTCCATGTCCTTCACCGAGTCCTGCCTCTCGCCCGCGGAGGAGGAGCCAGAGGGCCTTCCATCCAAGGACTACAAAGTCCACGGGGACAGCTGCCAGGTCCGGAGAAAAGTCTCCGATGTGGCCTCCTCCGGCGTAGTGTCGCTCGACGACAACGAAGACGATGAGGTCGAAGAAGAGCCGGACGCTGAAGAGCCGTGAATCCCCTTCTGTTCCGTGGCATGCTTCACCTGCCATTTTTGCCCCGCTCCGTGGCACCTTTTGTCCACCCAGCTCCACGGCCCATCAGTTGTTTCAGCGGGATGGTTCCACCCTCCCCCTTTTTGGGGGATGAAGGGAGGCAGCATGGGCAGGCATGGCGGGTTCGAAAGCTCCCCTCCCAGGCCTTCCTGAGCTCTACCGTGCCATCCAACGCCGCCATTTTAAGCCTCAGGAGCCTGCTTAACGGCTTTGTGGGTTTTGCCTGCTGCATTTGATCTCTCTTTCTCTCTCGTGGCCTGTTTTGTTTCCTTTGCATGGGAATGTCTTTTGGGGGAGGGGCAGGGTGAGGACACCAAGCGAACTATCGGAAGAAGGGCGATGCTGGTGGGAGTTATCACAACTCAGGGGAGGGGGTTACTCGGGGAACATCGGGCGAAGCCCCATCGTGGTGCCCTGGGAATCCAGAAGTGCCCCCGTTCGCTGTCCAGGTGGTGGTATGGCTAACGCTCTTTCAAGCCGAAAAATCATTTCTCTTTGTCAGACTACGAAACTCGACTGACTTTCGAGTTTGCCTGTGTGTCCCCCTTTCCCATCCCAGCTCCTGTGGTTTGTGGCAAAGAGCGGAAACGGGACGCGAAATGCAAACAAGGGTGTGCGATTTGTTATGCTTTTTTTTTTTAAAAAAAGAGGAAAACAAAAAAAAATAATATCCACCCCCCGACTCGAGGGGCAAATCCTTGGCTTTATTGTCTCAGATTTTATACTGTGGACCCATTGGAAGAAAGGGGGGGGGGGGGGAGGATAAGGGAGGTGGGGGGTGTCCTGGTGTGTGCTAATGTGCTCCATTTCCCCCCCTCCCCCATCGCTTGGGAAAGGAAGCAAAGAGTCCACACGACCTTGTTCCGGATCTTTTCTATAGTTTTGTACGTGTGTTTCCATGTTCTGTCTTTCTGGGATTTGGTGCATTGACACGGATGGATTTCCTTTGGGTGCCCTGTCCCCTGCTCTGCTCTCCCAACGTGGCTCACCTGGCTTGGGAATACTACTGTGTTTTCCCCAAAATAAGACCTATCCCGGAAACAAGTCCTAGCCTGATTTTTCAGCCTGTGCCCAATATAAGCCCTATCCCCCCAAAAAATAAGCCCTAGTAAAGATTGTCATCAGACCCGGAGGGTGGGAGATATAGCCAGCACAGGAGATGGTGAGCGCATGGGGACCAGTGGAGAAAACCAGCCCAGCGGTAGCAGTGCTCCCATCGGCCCCCACACTTTCCACCTTCTGTACGTGGGGGAAAAAAGACACACACCCCCAAAAAATAAGCCCTGGTGCTTATTTTGGAGCCCCCAAAATAGAAGGCCAGGTCTTATTTTTGGAGAAACATGGTATGATCTTTATTCTGCTCCCCTTTGCTCTAAGGTAGTATTTCTCGATCTCAACCAAGTTAAGATGCGTGGACATCAACTCCCAGAATGCCTCCGTCAGCTTGGCTTGGCTGGCTGAAGCATTCTGGGAGTTGAAGTCCACGCATCTTAACATGGCTGAGGTCGACAAACGTGAGTGTCTCTCTTTTCCATGCAGCCTCTTCTGGCATCTCACCTCTTCTCCAAGCCTACGTTAAGTAGATTTGGATGGTGCAAGCAGTCACCAAGCAGTTTGGCACAAGTTCACAGTGATGTCTCTTTTGTTGGGTCATCATTGCAAGGCCTTATCTGTGTCAGGATTTTCTGGGATAGGCCCTCCTTTGAATCTTAAGATAACAAGGACTTTGACCTTGCAGGTTGGGAATTTGGAGGAAGCTAGGTTCCTCCACTTCACTTCCTTGTTTAGCAATGGAAACTCTATAGAGCAGAGGTCTCTAACCTTGGCAACTTTAAGAGTTGTGAACTTCCACTCCCAGAATTCTTCAGCCAGCCATGTTGGCTGAGGAATTCTGGGAGTTGAAGTCCATCAGGCTTGAAGTTGCCAAGGTTGGAGACCCCTGCAATAAGGAAAGCTGATCAGCCTCGTAAGAATCCTATCCATTTTATACTGATGTAATTGCCACAGCTTCTTTCAAAGGTTTCTGGGAATTGTAGTTTGGTAAAATGAGTTGAGGATATGGAGATAAAAGTCCTAAGGTTGTCCACACACCAGTTTTTAGCAAAGATTTCTGGGAGGCAGGTAGAAGGAAGGACGATTAAATCAGTTTGAGACCTACTGGATATGTTTTTGTAGGAAAAAAGTCCCATCAGCACTAATATTCATGCATCTGAGTTGGATAAAACGATCTGAAAAACAGTGTTGGCTGCAGGATGTGGTTGTAAAATTCAAGATGGCAGCCTTGCTGTTCTTGATTTATGTCCTTGCAGCTGCCATCTTGGTTTTTTTTGACCACCTGGAAATAAACACAAGCAGCTGCCTTCTTGACTTTTGGAACCACATCCTGAGGACACCCTGGACTGGACTGTAGATGCCATCTCAACTTCTCCTAGCACAGTGCTTCCCAAACTTGGCTAAATTACTCAGACTTGGACAGAAGTGGTTTTTCTTTGAGTAATGCCATACAAACCTATTACCCACTCATAACAGGGACCTTTAACTAAGGACTCTCTGATCAACAGTAAAAGATAAATTTCTCAAAAAAGGTTTTGTGTCATGTAAGAAAAAAAGTTTGGGAAGACTGTCTTAGAAAGACATCAGAGTCCTTCCTAGTTTTATTCTGGCTGTGCTGTCCAGACAGTTTAGAGTTAATGGGATTTGGGATAGTTACTTGGGAATTGAGAGCTGTCCCCTTAAGGGAATGCATCATGGTAAATGTAGTTAAGGTATCCTGGAAAATGTTCATGTCATGTGGTCACATCTGTAACCCTGATTGGTCACTGAATTGACCCTTGGTGGGTTGGGGGAGATTTCTTCTCTTGCCTGAAAACACAGCCTCATGGTAGCATCTCTACCCGCTGCTTCTACGATATGGGATGAAAGAGATAACCATCTTTTTACCTATAAAGACAGGTATGCAAAGGATTGGATATTAAGAAGAACCTCATCATAACTGTGAGTTAATGAGGATGCCCGATGAACCAATAAAAAAGACTTTGTATGGATGCTTTGTGGAATTTATCTATCTGCTTTGTACAAGACAGAATGGTAAAAAGATGGTTATCTCTTTCATCCCATATCGTAGAAGCAGGGGGTAGAGATGCTACCATGAGGCTGTGTTTTCAGGCAAGAGAAGAAATCTCCCCCAACCCACCAAGGGTCAATTCAGTGACCAATCAGGGTTACAGATGTAGCCACATGACATGAACTACATTTCCCAGGATACCTTAACTACATTTACCATGATGCATTCCCTTAAGGGGACAGCTCTCAATTCCTAACTAACTATCCCAAATCCCATTAACTCTAAAACTGTCAGGACAGCACACTGGCCATGGCCCAATTCTTTGTAAATTATATCTTCCACAAGGCGGGGTTACTGAATTTTGTAGAATCTGGAGCTGAATAACAGAATAACAGAGTTTTCTAGTCCACCCCGCCTGCTCCAGCAGGAGACCCTATACCTGTGATGGCAAATCTTTTTGTCACCAAGGACCCAAACTGGAATGTGTCTGCATTCGTGCACGTATATATGCATGTGCCGGAGCACCAGAAACCCAAAGACCAGCCAGCTGGTGCACACATGCCTGTTTTTTTGGCTGTTTTGAGGGCCGTTTTCAGGCCGAAAAACAGTTTGGAAATGGCCCGAAAAAATGGCCTTAAAACAGCCCAGAAAATACTTGAAAAATGGCCTAAAAACAACCTGAAAATGGCTGGAAAACAGCCTGGAAAATGGCCTGAAAACAGCCCGAAAAATGGTCTGTTTTGGGGGCATCTTTTTGGCTGTTTTGGGGTTCTCCGGTGCCCACAAAGAGCATCTGGCAACGGCATGCAGCCCACAAAGAGGGCTCTGCGTGCCACCTCTGGCGCATGTGCCATAGGTTCACCATCATGGCTTTATACCAATTCAGTCAAGTGCTCCAATTTCTTCTTTAAAACCTCCAGTGGTAGATCACCCACAACTTCTGAAGACAGGCAGTTTCACTGATTAATTAATTCCTCACCGCCGGGAGATGCCTCCTTAGTTCTACATTGGTCCCCTCCTTGGTTGGCTTCAATCCATGGCTTCTGGTTCTGCCGTCAGGTGCTTTGGAGAACGACCCCCCCCTTTTTCTTTGTAGCAGCCCTTTCTCCATGGCTTACACTTCTACACTTAGGCAAGAAAAACCAAAAGTACACATATAGACTGGGTGAAACCAGGCTCAATTGCAGTAACTGTGAGAGGGATCTTGGAGTCTTAGTGGACAACCAGCTCAATATGAGCCAGCCGTATGCAGCCGCTGCCAAAAAAGCTAATGCAATCCTAAATTGTAATAACAGAGGGATACAATCGAGATCAAGTGAGGTACTAATACCACCCTATAAAGCCTTAGTAAGACCACACCTAGAGTACTGCATCTAGTTTTGGTCACCACATTATAAAAAAGATGTTGAGACTCTAGAAAAAGTACAGAGAAGAGCAACCAGGATGATTAGGGGACTGGAGGCTAAAACATAGGATGAACGGTTGCAGGAACTGGGCTTGGCTAGTCTAGTGAAGAGAAGGATCAGGGGAGACATGAGAGCAGAGTTTCAATATTTGAGGGGCTGTCCCAGAGAGGAGGAAGGGGGTCAAGCTATTTTCTAAAGCACCCAAAGGCCAGACAAGGAACAATGGATGGAAACTGAACAAGGAGAGATTCAACCTGGAAATAAGGAGAAACTTTCTGACAGTGTGAACAATCAACCCATGGAACAGAAGTTGCCCTTGGAAGTTGTGGGAGCTTCATCACTTGAGATTTTCAAGAGGAGATTGGACTCCCATCTGTCAGAAATGGTGTAGGGTCTCCCGCTTGGGCAGGGGGTTGGACTAGATGACCTACAAGGTCCCTTCCAACTCTGATTATCTGTCATCTGCTTTGGAGCAGATTGTCCCACATAGTTCTTTCGATCTCAGAGGAAGGAATGGGACTGGCAGGAGGACCATCCCAGGACTGGTCTATCACCACAGTTGACGTTCTTCTAAGGAAGGAGAAGTTGCAGGGAGCCTTGTGTAAGGATGAGGTTGGGGGAAGTCTCGGATAAACCAACTAGTCATGGGGGTTAAATAACTAGTTGTGGGGAGTTGGCTTCTTGTCCCAGTTATTCCAGGGACCCTTGAGATATCATGGAGATTGGGAAGGTTGTTTCTTTCCCAAGCATCGGGGGAGGTCGGGGACCTTTCGATTGGCTCAGGGATGATAGAAGAGTTGAGT